CCTTTTTCCCAATTCAATCCTACTACTTTCCCATTTTTAATGTTTTCTTTTCTTGTTTCCATTCTTTTTTCTTAATGTGATAAATTACATACTGTTATGATTGTGTGGTTAGGTTAATTATATTCATACTCATCACATGCACATATAATAAAATGGCATCAAACCACAAACCTACGCAGTGTCTGCAGCTGGATTTTGTCTTCCATTTTGCTCCCTGTCTTTGCTTCTTTTTGAAACTACCTTTGTGGTCCTTGACCTAAACATGAAAGAATGATGTAAAAGCCAACTTGAGCGATTCTCTAGATTAAAAGATTATCAGGTGCATAGATGAAGAATTTTGTAGAAATTTGAATTTGGGCCTGTTTTCCAGAAATGCTCCTGCTATATTACAGTTCACTTTATAGGTACCAGGTGAATCACTCAGTGAAGGAGAGCTCATCTAAGGCATTTATAAGGCTGTACAATGTAAGACAAAAGAATTATGTGTTTGAAAATCATAAAAATGGCCGCCACTTGAAAAATCAACCTCAATTCCTACATATAGGCTACCGGCGCCTATATAATACATGACAAATTATGTCATACACAATTTCAATGCACAAGAGAGATTTACATTGCATGTGACTTGATTAAATAAAATCAATTGCGTGATCGATAATTGATAATTTAAATCTTTAAGGTACAACGGGCTGAACGCACAATTTAGTTTTCCGAACACAAATTGTTTTCTTTATACTTTTTCTACAAGATATAATTTTTTCAATTTTTTTCTCAATAGTCACATGCAATAAACTTTACTAAACTTTGTAAAATGGATGAAAACTGAGTAAAGAATTCTTGAACATGATGAGAGTACTTTAATTTTTAGCAAAATCATTGTGTTTATAATATTATTTTCTATTAATGTATGTTACATCATTTGGCAAAAGTTTTCCAAGTTTTGCAAAATGGGCTGCAATCACTCAAAGTTTTGTAGGCTTTCAAGCATCAGTGTATCACAAAAGCATTTACTGCAAACAAACTTGATTGAGTGTTTGCCTTCATTATGCCACGATTGCAAGCTTTAGAGCTTTGTAGAGCCTGCATTGACCAGATGAAACCGCTAAATAAACAATAGTCATACTGGTGGCCAATTTTATTAATAGTTTGACTAATATGATGTCATAACTTAACCCCACCTTGCAATTAATTTTTCCTGCCAGTTTTATAACATACAGAGGTATCCAGAAATGACACAAGATCAAAGATGGTGTATGAAGTATTAAAAGTTATGCAGGAATTTTTTTTACTATTTAATTTAAATGATCAATGACTTCTACACAGTGCATAGTAAAAATTTAAAAATAGTACAAGTTGTACAACTTTTTCTTTACTAATAAATGGCAGCAATTAAAAAATATTGAAATTTCATCCAAAAGTAACTTAAATTTTTAGTAATGGCAGTTTTAGTTGTGTTTGTTTATCAACTTTTAAAATTGTTTCATGCAACTTGTGGGAATCAAGTTAGTACTCATTGGCTGAAACCTTCTCTTCTACACTCACCAAGGCACGCAGTGAGATCATTGGAAATGGCTTTCAGCTCACCAATTATGTGGTCTGTCAAAGTGTCATTCATTGTATGACTTTGACAAGTGTTTTGAGGTTTGTGGTATCAGTAAATAATTAGTCTCAAATGCCAGCATGTTCAATTCCCTAACCATCCAAGACCAACTTACCGTCAGAAATGTAACACTTCTCCATTGAGAACTATTAGGAATCACTGATAAATTTTAAACCATACAAGGTATGTTTGTACTAGTGTTGTTTTAGTTCTTTGGTACTAGAACTAAAATACAATACTAGTATG